TAAATAACCATAACCTGAGGGCTGTTAAAGATAAAATGGTTGGAAATGTACTGACTGCACAACAAAAATATAAATCTGTAATTCCAGTGAAAAAGCGATTTAAGGCACTGCAATTTGGATTCCAGCAACATAAACGGCAGTTGGTGTTTTCCAGGTAGATGATCGATTGGAACGGAAGTAATGAATCTATTACTGGGCATAAAGTTAGCGTTGAGGCCATTTTCTTGCGAAGTTTGGACAACCAGGAATTTGCACAAAACTAAGTTTTGTCTTTTCGTAGTCGACCCATTTTTTACAGCAAAATACCACTTACGTTTTTGTAGGCATGTTACAACTTTTTGATGTGAGTAACGAAATGACGCATTTTGTTGGCATAATCCTCTTATTTCTTTATTTTTTCGAATTTTGTTTGCATTTTATCATGGTTGACATTCCAGGCATGCCGAAGCAAATTTACCGGGTACAATTACTCATACAGTCTCTGCGGTTTGTCAACCTGGAAGAAATATCAGGGCAAATAATTCCGAACAGCTTACTTCTGTCACCAGTATCACCAGGGCCACAAGCATCTGTTCGGGGTTATTCAGGATCAAACCAATGAACATTTAATTCACCACTAAAATGCATGGCCGATTAGAGTGAAAACAACGCCTGCGTTATTCCAACCGCTTCAAATTATGTAATAAACGTATGGACGAGGAGAATACTTGCTAAAGAAATTGAGGTATAAAGGACNAGAGGGACATACATTAAGACAACCGACAGTGTTACCAAATAAATAAACATAACCTGAGGGCTGTTAAAGATAAAATGGTTAGAAATGTACTGACTGCACAACAAAAATATAAATCTGTAATTCCAGTGAAAAAGCGATCTAAGGCACTGCAATTTGGATTGCAGCAACATAAACGGCAGTTGGTGTTTTCCAGGTAGATGATCGATTGGAACGGAAGTAATGAATCTATTACTGGGCATAAAGTTAGCGTTGAGGCCATTTTCTTGCGAAGTTTGGACAACCAGGAATTTGCACAAAACTAAGTTTTGTCTTTTCGTAGTCGACCCATTTTTTACAGCAAAATACCACTTACGTTTTTGTAGGCATGTTACAACTTTTGATGTGAGTAACGAAAATGAAATGACGCATTGGCATAATCCTCTTATTTCTTTATTTTTTCGAATTTTGTTTGCATTTTATCATAGTTGACATTCCAGGCATGCCGAAGCAAATTTACCGGGTACAATTACTCATACAGTCTCTGCGGTTTGTCAACCTGGAAGAAATATCAGGGCAAATAATTCCGAACAGCTTACTTCTGTCACCAGTATCACCAGAGCCACAAGCATCTGTTCGGGGTTATTA